CTTCCTTAATGGTTAGGGTTTCTTAAGCGCGTCTGGTTCGCCCATAAAAATATATATACATATTATATATAATGTTGCAGAAAAGCCCCTCTACTCTCTGCAAATTCATCGATTCCCGTCTCCTAGAACTTTCTAGGTCAACCATGGATTGATTCAGCTTATTTCTTGGTAATTCCCCTCACTCCTCAAACTTTTCCCTTCCTTTTCGTCTACGTCCTTGCTTATAAATTCAGCAACTGAGCTTTTTCCGAACTCAAATTTATAGTCCTTACAGTTTCGTCCGTGTCTTCTATTTTTCGCTGCGTTTACAGGTTCCGTGCTCGATTTCTTGAGCATTAGAAGGTAGTTGAGGGTAGGAATATAGTTTAATTTCTCAAAAACAATTATCCCTAATATTTTTGTTAGAGTTGTTGAATCTTCGCGTTGATTAGGTTTTGTGTCTGTTTTTAAGATTAATCAGATCTAATTTTATTAGGTATTGCTCGGGACATGTTAATTTTTGATATGGTTGCCATATGGTAGCTGCAAATTCATACCTCAGTTACTCTCTGTAAGCAAAAATTAAAATAAATAAGTTTAGTTACACTCCCTAAATTGGGGTCAAGAATCGTATCGATTGCTGCTTATGATTATCTGGTGGAGAAGAAGCCAATTCTTCTGTTCTATTGTTTGGGTATTCTTTGGTTGATTTGAACAGTGTTTGATTTGTGCCGGCACTGTTGATAACGGGAACGAATTTTGTTACATATTTCTAGAGAGAGTTTACTCTTTTGAGGATGGTTCTGCATTTTACTTTCCCGACTCTACCGAATGATGACATTCTGTATCGTGGTATTGTATAGGGGTGGCAGTACTGGAATGGAAATGTATAATGTTCCCGAGCATTCAAATGATGAGGTTTATATGGTATGTTATTACTAATCTTCCGACATTGGATTGAGCAATAATATTTCTTGCGTGGTGGATTCAGTTTGTGACTTCTTGCTGATTTGATAAGTGATTGTGTCTTGGCTTTTAGATTCCAAACGTGGAACAAAACCTGCGTTTTCCAACTCCCTTTGAACAAGTTGAAGCCATGTACAACGAAGGAGCTCCTGAGTTTGTTGTTGATCAGGGCATGTATTATCCCGCTGCCACAAACTATGGGTATTACTGTTCAGGTAAATACATTCTACCCTTTCTTTTGGTAGATCAATTTGATGGTTCGTTGTCTCATTTGTACATTGTGCTGAATAATGTGGACAGGATTTGAATCACCCGGTGAATGGGAGGACCACCGTAGAATTTTTGGCGTTGATGGTCCAGATATCCAGTACACAGTTAGTGATTTATCTCTCTTACACACCCACATACTTCTGTACTTCTAGTGATTATTGTGATGATTCTCATAATTCATTTCTTTTTAACAGGGTGCACAAAATGAAAGTTTACCTTTTGTATACTATACACCTGGCTATGGATATGCACAGTCTCCATACAACCCATACAATCCTTACATACCTGGTGCCATGATAGGCGTTGATGGCCAACAGTATACCATCCCCCCTTATCAGAACTCTGTCTCTTCACCTCCCTATATCCCATTTGTTCAACCAGATGCCATTCCCAACACTTCACCTGACTCCTTGTTTGATAATGGAGCATCAGTTACTAGACCCGATGGAAGAGGGGTCAAATATAACTTAAATTCAGCTTCTGGAGGCTTCCCTAACTCCTCGAAGTCCTCTTTAAATCAGATGAATCCCTTGACGAAAGTATCAGAAGGTCAAAGGGGTAATGGATCAAGCAAGCATGCTGCGACACATGGAGGCGTTTCTTCTGGTCGTTTTCCAACCCCAGCCTCATCACATGTTAATCAGGTATTACTCTTTCTGTTCAGTTTTATGGTCTTTTACATGTTTGGAGTTTAATTAAACTAATAGAGTTTCTGGTAGATTATCTTTGTTCACCTATAAAATTGTTACTGTATTGATATCTGGTTCTTTTGAAGACCTTTAAAACAGACTGTTCTGATTTTTTCCCTTATGCATTCACAGGTTAGAAGTGCATCCAGGTCAATTTCGTCTGTGGATAAACTTCCAAATGGGAAAGTATTGCCTAATAATTTCAAGGTGGAAATCCCCGTTGTTAATGGCTTATCTAACTTTGGATCTAGTGCTCAAGGAAGTGGTGCTGCGAGTAAGCTTCGACCAAAGTTTCATGTTGGCAGGGACTTGAATGATGTACATGGTGGCCTAGAGGCATTGGGTGAGCAAAATTGTGGTCCTAGAATCAATAGGTTAAAAAATCAACTAGCTGTGAAAGCCTATACGACCAAGGCAGGAGATTGTGATGCACAAGGAAACATCATTATCCGTACTGATAAATATAATAAGGATGACCTGCCAGTTGACTACGCAGATGCAAAGTTTTTTGTAATAAAATCATACAGCGAGGATGATGTTCACAAAAGCGTCAAATACAATGTCTGGTCATCCACACCCCATGGCAACAAGAAACTAAATAGTGCATATGAAGATGCTCAAAGAATAGCTGCAGGAAAACATAGAGCCTGTCCTATCTTCCTTTTCTTTTCGGTGAGTTGTGTTGTACCTGCTGACTATTTTTAGTTGAAGACGTATAATTGTAAATCCTTATCTATTACCTCATTTATAAACCATCTGAAACAAGGTTTTTAGTGATTCATTGGGTTATGCTGATATTGAATTGTCTTTGTACAGGTTAATGCAAGTGGTCAATTCTGTGGCATAGCGGAGATGGGTGGCCCGGTTGACTTTAACAAGGATATGGACTTTTGGCAGCAAGATAAATGGAGTGGGAGCTTCCCTGTTAAGTGGCACATCATTAAAGATGTTCCAAATAACAGTTTCAGGCACATTGTATTGGAGAACAATGAAAACAAGCCGGTGACTAATAGCAGGGATACACAAGAGGTAATCTAGATTTTTTTTTCCCTGTACTACGTTAACTAAATCTTCTGTTGTGGGTGAATAGTTGGGCAACTTTCACAATATGATGTTTTGTAGCTAGCTAGCTAGCTAGCATAGAGTCAGAAGTCATGTCTTATGGTTGATCATGTATAGTGGTTACTGAGAAATTTGAATTGGAGGATTGGAACCCACACTGCCGGACCAGGCTGAATGTTAAATGTTTTGTGTGCATCCTACCAGAAGTAGGTTCATAGCTTTTAATTGAAATCTAGGGTATAAGCGTAGGTGCTATGAAAAATGGATTCATCATCATTGAAAAATGGATTTGTATTGTTACTGTCTGTGTGCCATCAAGTATGATTTCTTAGGTTGGTGGTTGATTATTTTTTTATACTGTGCAGGTCATGTATAAGAAAGGCTTGGAGATTCTGAAAATATTCAAGAACCACGCATTGAAGACATCTTTACTTGATGACTTTATGTACTACGAAGACCGTCAAAAAATCATGCAGGAAGAGAGAGGCAGGTTTCTTATCAGAAGCTTCGAAAGTCCATTTTTAGTAACTGGGCTGGGTCCCCCTCGCAAGCTGAACAACTCTGTGGGTGAGCTGCCCTGTATTAAGGAGGAAAAAGTCACCAAACTTAACGACGATGCAAACAACTCAAAAAAGATTACAGTCTCTGCTGCTGAGCAGGTTTCCTCCGACATGAGTGCTAAAACAAGTATCAAGAAGGAAAACACTGAGCAGAAGGCAATTGAAGCAAAAGATGATGTTGTGTCTACCTTAGAAGTTGGTTCCCTCACTATTAATCCAAAGCAGGCAGGATCAAAATCTTCAGCAGCTGCTGTTACTAACACTGGAAAGGTTGATGTTGTCACTGTGGGCTCAATGCCCGTAAGAGTTAATGGATATGCTGAATCCTTGGGTAATTTAACGTTTGGAACAATCCCTCGGGATCCTAGAGCATTACGACCAGAGAAGGGCGGCTCTATTATCGAACAGGCTGCTCAACCTCAACAGAAATGATTCGGAAGTCATTCACAGTTCCTTGTATCGGATACATTTTGCTTTGTTGGCGGGGTTCATCAAATCCCGGGTTCATGATACTCAGGTCATGATTACAGGCAAATGGTAAAATGCAATACTCACTCTGATGTTGTCTCTCTTGTTTTTTAACCTCCTTTCCTTTAGTTATTTTGCTCCAGTCGTTTTCTGGTCCTTACTTTCTAGTTACATCCTGGATTTATTGGCGGTAGGGGTGGGGGTTTGTTGCTCAATTCAGGTGGAATACACAGATTGATATCATTCAAGAAATCAAGATACAAAAGAATTCTGTTATTAGCAATTAACATTATCTGTCAGTCCTTAAGAGTAAAGTGGTATTTGTCTCCCTCGTTCAGTTTGTTTTATTTTTTGAATGAGTGGCTTTTGCACCGCTTCTCTTTCTGCACACTTTATGTCTGACATTTAGATTGAATCGATCCGTGTGGTATAGTATTAGTGAATATTCCTCTTTTCTCGTCCGGCATGCTGCACCGTCATTTTTGGTGATATGCAATTGATGGCTTCTACTTTCCTGACGCGTTTACTAATTCGTAATCAAATTAAGCGGAATTGGATTGAGGGGGAATTAAAATGAGGTGGAATTAGAATCAGATTTCTGTTGAAGTTGTTTACTAAAACTGTTTGGAATCGAAGTAGGAATGATGTTGAGTCCATATAAGTTGTTTACTAATTCACTTCAATCGGTTTGAAAACTAGTTTGATTATTATATTGTCCTTACATAAATAAATTATTTTCATACTAATTAATTAAATTCTTAATTAAATTTATATAATAAAATTCATCTATATAAGCATATATAAATATGTTTTATTTACTTATTAAAAGATGGCAAGAATGATGTTGAGTCCATATAAGTTGTTTATTAATTCACTTCAATCGGAATGAAAACTAAATTGATAACTAAATAGCCCTTACATAAATAAATTATTTTCATACTAATTAATTAAATTAAATTCTTAATTAAATTTATATAATAAAATTATCTATATAAAAATATTTAAATAGGTTTTATTTATTTATTAAAAATGACATAATGAGTGTAAAATGAAAGGTAATGTTGGGATAATAAGAAACAAGTGAGGGCATAATAGGAATAAAAGATGCATTTCCGATTCTCTTACCCTCAGGGAATTCAAATACCTCACAAAACTAGGGAATCCCGTTCCTCCAATTTTAGGAATTGAATTCCTTGTTTCATATGGGTTCCACCACTTTTTTGATTCCTTAATGTTTAGTAAGTATCGAAATACTCTGTAATCGGAAATCAATTCCCTTTCCTTATTCCAATTACCCTTATGTAAACGTGCCACTAGTATTTCGTGTAATCTGATGGTGATACAACTCCCAACTTGCTCACCAGGCAGAGGCAGCCCTATGAATTTGACAAAGTGTGGTGATATTTTCAACCAATCTTGTTTATTAACATTTCTTTCCTCTCATTTCTTCTTTTTGGAAACCTGTAGAAGTACCACTCCATTAAAAAAACATGAGTTCTAGGATTAGGGAAAAGGGTAGTGTTATTCACACACATATTTTTACTTCTTACATGTCTCAATTTTCGGCCATTGAATCATATGAATTAAAAAAGATCAATGCTCGAAACTTATAAAGATGTGTGAGAGGTAAAAATGAGTATGTGAATAACATTATTCTAAGGAAAAAAAATAGAGGGGGATGGTGAAGCAAGAGTTGGTTTGCCATGGTAGTTAGGGGATTGTGCTTTTAACTTTATTGCTTTTGGGGTTCAAACCCTTTCGTTATTTCTCTATCTTCTTTGCTTCGATAAAGTATACAAATTGAAATTTATATTGTTATTCAACATTATCAAATTTAGTGGGTTATTGATTCTAGTTAAGTCAATTCTACGCAAGTACGTTATAGTTTAGTTAATTAAGAATATTTATTCTTGCATATGAGATCTTGTTTTTGAATCTCTTTTTCTTTTTCGTAATTTCATGTAGATATCTTTTCGTCCTTTTTCATTTGATATAAAAAAAAAAAAAAACGTCAGCGAAATACTTTTATCAAAATTTGTTGAAAGCGGAAAAATAAAAAATTGAAGGTGGTAACAGCACTGGCCTTTCTTGAAATTTAACCAGCGCGGACAGCGACAAGCGGTTGGTGAGTGCTAAATCAGGCGGGTTAAGATGAACCAAAATGGCATCCTGATGACGACACGTGTCAGTCATGCTTCCCTTCCCTGGCCGCATGACCCACCACCAACACAGTCAGTAAACGCACGGAAGCCCGTGACCCCTCTTTTTTAACAACAGAGAGATTCTCCTCCTATTAGAGAAGAGGCATTAACGGCAGTCAGTGACGCCGTAACCTTTGAGGTGTGTAAGATTTCAAATCCGTATTCTATTTGTGAAGGTCCGAGAGATCTGTTAATTATGTTCGTTCATCTCATATCGTGTGATCAGAAATTATTTTAAATATTTTTATTTAAAATTAAACTCGAGAACTTGACAAAAACTTAGCGCATAATGTACGAAGAACCGACATGATTCACGAATTCGCATATCCCACCACCAAAAGTATCCGGAGAGAGGATCCTGTTGGTTAGATTTTATAGACCATAAAAAAAAAGTCACTGATTCAGTTGCTCTATGCGATTCTCGCAGCTCTCAGCTCGTTTCCCAACGAACCTTTCTCCCGCAGGAGTGAGTAAAGTCAACGCGCCGCTGCACCGCCTGCATGGGCTCTGCTACGCTCCGGCTGTTAAAATTTCCGATCAAGTACGTCCCGGACCGCCGAACGGCGTGTGCACTCGCGCTTCCTTCTTTCATTCAGCTCAAATTATCATAGCTGAAGATTATAACGTCTTTTTAGATTTTATTTTCTTAAATTTGTTTCCTTCTCTGTTCGTTATCATTGTGTTGTAATTGCACTTCTTTTTGGGTCTGTTTGGTTGATGATAAAATGGAGGAAAGTAAGAATTTTTACTTTTACTGCAAATTATTAGGGGTATTAATTGTATGAATTTGCATGACTAATTTGGTGATTAGGTATGTGAATTTTGGTTTAGCTTAATTATGTTGTTCTATTGCATAATTTCACATTGAGCATTTAATATGTTTGCAAATGTAGCACTTTCTTTTTATGTAAGAAATTGCTTTCGCTAGGGTTAGTTACAGGTGCGTCGTTGTCGTGTAATGTGATTCATGCGAAAGTACAAAAGAGGTCTAACCGGTTAGATATATAGATTTCACGGTTTGTAGCTTACTAGTATAATGCAGACAACGATTCTCCGCACTATATAATCAACTAGATATTGCTGAATGGTGACTTTAACGATTCAAGAAGCTTATTTGTTGGTTCACGCCCCACTCAAAGGTCTAAACTTGACCGTTGTTTTCTTGCAGAGTGTGACTGGCGGCCTAGCATATGCAGTTTGTTGTCATAGTAAACTCATATTTTCTATCGTGCTTTATTTGTTTCATTTCGGAAAAGGTATGCTTTTGTAGTAGCTCTACATAATCCTTTGGAGATGGTTGAATGTCATCCGTGTGTTTATGTGCTCTCTATTTCTGCTCTGTAGGTCGATATGACAAATTACTCAAACAGGAAAAGCTCCTCAGAACAGGAATATGAGAAGGCAATTGTTACTAAAGAAGAGATCTTGGATTATGAGTTGCATTCAGATCCTACATTTTCAGGCCATTGCGGGGTATGCCCACCATTTTATGATACTTTTGCCAGTTCATATGGAGAAATTTCACCACACATGATATATCTGATCATACTAAGTCAATTGTGAACAATTTTGAAACTGGCTGAGAAATGATGTGTGAATTAAGTTATATAAAATGGTTGTTATTTGCTTACATTGTTTTTTCTTTCTTCCTTTGCAATTCCAGAACAATGTCGCAAGTTCATCGGGTAGCAATTTGAGATCAGATTTGATTGGAATGGGATTTTCACCATCACTTGTGGACAAAGTGATTGAAGAAAAGGGTAGGTTATGCCAAACTGTGAACTCCAATCTCTTACTAAATGTGGGTGAGGGTTGGTGGGGTTACCTGTGGCACTGTAGATTTAGAATATTAGAAATAAACAACACTGCACGTCAAGACTCTGTGGGTGTACGGCACTGTAGATGTAGAATATTAGAAATAAACAACACTGCACGTCAAGACTCTGTGGGTGTACGAATGTGCGTGTGAGCATGTATTCAGTCAGGATCAGTGTTGTTTATTTCTAACATTCTAAATCTACAGTGCCACAGGTAACCCCACAATGCACTCAGTGTCTTATTATCATTATATTGATATCTATATTGGATCGCGCAATCTGAATGTCTTTTTCCTCTAAAATTTTGATGATTGAGTATTTTTCTTCAAATCTAGGTGAAGGTGACACAGAAGTGTTATTGGAGACACTTTTGTCGTATCCAGTAAGTGACATATTTTTTGTTTATGTTCCAATTGCATATGTTTTTTAGTTGAATGGTTTTCCCAAAATCATTTGTTAGTTCAATTAGAAATACTGAAGAGAATGTCCTAGCATTGGTACAACCATCTCACTGTTTTGCATGTGGGAGGGCCAGTGAAATTATCACTGGGTTGTCATTTAAGTGTACGTCATGTATCTACCAAGGAATTTTGAGTGCTTATGGTCATCCTGTTTTGGAATGAACAGGATTCTCGAAAGTCAGATTCTGGATCATCAGATTCTCTGGATAGCTTATTTGATGACAAGGATGCAAGCAGTATTCCGGAGATTCCTAATATTGCTGAACCAAAAGAGGTAACCTGCAAAAACTGCTGTGATCTTGCTTTCTTAATCTATCCTTTACGTACCCAGGATACTCGTTGTGATTGATCTTCACAAGTCATTGGTAACTATGCTAGTGACTTCCAATGCTGCCGGTTAAGGTGTGACTGAAACTGCATTATGCAGTTTGGTGACAAGTGCTGTATGATGCTTAAGACATAGCAACCTTAACTTATCTAGAAATTTTCTAATAAAGCAACTAAGTTGCCTCTCTTGTCTTGTCGCGATGAACATAATAGGAGCAGCTCATTATTATGATATTTGTTTTTTCATGTGATTTGTTTGTCTTAATTTGCACATGCTAAGGCTTCTTTAACTTTTGACAGGAGCCTGATTTGCCAGATGGACTTAATGAGGAAAAAAGGGCATCTTTACTGATGATGAATTTTTCTCTGGATGAAGTTGAGTTTGCAATTGATAAGCTTGGTAGGTTGAAAATTCTAAATTTTAATTTTATATGAAAATGTTTGACTTGTATTGGTTTTATATATTGAAAGAAAAAATAGGGAGCACTCACCAGTTGACAGTTTTTGCTCTCATGACTAATCTGCAATTCCATGTACTTTCCCAATGTGTTACATAGATAAGTCCCAATGTGTTTGGTTTTAGGCTCCTCAACGAGGCATATGAATACGCTCTTGTGGAATTGGTTTAAGGATCTGGGTATGGAATGAAGCTTATTCCGATCTATACCTCCTGTTAAGTTTAGGGCTACTACTGTAAGCAGTTTCACTGATGTTGAACCAGGGAAGAGCTCCACAAACATACATTATTGGAACTTGAGTACATAACATAAGAAAGCTTCTGGAAAAGTAGGAATCTCTTCAAACTCTAGGGGGTCTTTATGAGCATGTGTATGGTGAATATTAGTCTTATGACTTTAATGCACAATTAAGAAAGCTCCTGGATAGCACAATTCATTTCATATTCATGTTTGTCAAACTTGTATAATATGTGCATAAATTCTTTAAAAAAAGAATCAGTATTGCTTGAATTATGATATTCCACCTTGACTTTTATCTCTTTTCAATCCTGCTATTTAAAATTTCCTACAATAGTATGTTCAACATTTCAATATGGTTGGTTAATCTCGTTGTGCTCCATATCAGGTGAAGACGCTCCGATTAATGACTTGGTGGATTTTATATTTGCTGCTCAGACAGCGGTCAAACTCGAAAATGATATAGATGATACAACTCATGGTGGTGAAGAGAAAAACGAGGTCTACAATTGATCCTGGATTAAATTGTTATCCATTTGATGACATTTTGGATATTGGCAACAAAATTAATAGTTTTTGTGCAATACTTGTCCGACATATGCTTCATGTCTTTTGGGAAAAGAAAAAACTAATGCGTATGCCTGAGACATAAAGTTTGTGGAATGTTGAACTTTGCTTGCTAATCCCATTGGACACTAAATAATATACATAGCATCTGTACATCTGTCAATTCTTTTCCGTGTAGGTTATGTTTTTTACCCTGCCACTTTATGGAAATGCATAATTGGGCATTATTGGGTAATACCTGTCTATAATCGCTTATAATATGTTGCATTCTTTTCCATTTGCTCCATTGGGTTTCTGGAATTTCATTTTCTCATGTCCTACTTCTAACCGATTTTAATTAAGAGATTACTGAAACAAAGTTTACCTTTCACCTTTGAGCTCATCACCCCCAACTTTTAGCAATCATATGAAGTCTTTATGGTGAGAAAGGTGGTTTCAGTACCTGTCATAATGACAATGGACTAGGGCAGGATTTTTCTCTTCTCTCATTAAATGTTCTTTTTTGAAGCAACAATTTTGCAAAAGCGTATGGAACAAGCATTTACATAGTTGCCGTGTTGTCTAGTACCAAGTGTCCAAGTTGTGTGATTTTGGCAGTGTATTTTTTAATAATATAGCCTTCTGATTAGCAGGATGTTAGTGATGAAAAATTATATGGGACCATGGAGATGTCACTCCGTCTGCTTGAAATGGGTTTCACTGAGAATCAAGTCTCATGGGCAATTGAAAAGTTTGGTGAGTCTTATATATAATTTGCTCCACTTGACCTGGAAAGAAAGGACATAAATAATGTAATAATATTTTTCAGATGGATGCTGTAACTTGTAACCCTAAAAATAATACTTATCGTGATCTTTATGTTAATATTATCATTAGTGGTGACATTACAACCAAGTTCCGTTCAACACAACAAGTTTATTTGAAATGTGAATTGTTAGATGCTGTCTACTGGACTTTGAAGGGAATGAATCACTTGTGACTACAACATGATTAATACCACCTTGTTGCTATGCGGGGTGATACAATTTTATTAGGTTTTTACTGAATCTTGTCTAACAGTCATTTGCTGTTACAGGTTCAGGAGCTCCAATTTCAGAACTTGCGGACTCGATCTTTAAATATCAAATTTCTGGAAACTATTATGAAGAAACTAAGGTTGGGATGCATTCTTATAAGCATTTAATGATTTTTCAAGTGCCGACATGCTGTGTTTGGATAATTTCTTTAGCTTTTTATGGTCCAGATAAAATTTTGATATTGCTTTTTGCTATCTAAGTGCCACAAGTAGTTCATTCTAATGTGAAATTATTTACTTACGACATTATGTATATATGAGGGAGATGCCAATTGTGTTGACAACCTGAACCTAATCCTAATCTTTTATCTTCAAATAATGATATATTTGTTTTAAAAATAAATGGCCCTAGAGGACCTTACCAAGTTTTGGATCTCCTTGTTGAAGCACATATGCATAATCTCATGCATGTTTTACAGGTTTCTGTTCATTTGTTCTTACAAGTCAGAAGTTAAAATATAAGTTTTATCTCTAATGGCTATGTTCATTAGTCATTACTTGTTAACAAGCTTATTTCTGAAATTATATAGTCTTTATCATTCATCATTTATGTTGGTTTACTAATGTTTGGAGCAATGTATCTGGCGCAGTACTCAGCCCCTTCACGCAGTGCAACAAGTTCCAGATTTTATGCTACAGGATCATATGATTCAGTTAAAGTTGAAAACGAGGAATTCTATCCACACACAGTTTCTCAATCAAGGGGTGGTATTTTAGCAAACAATTTAGGGAAGAGGCCCAAGCAAGAGTTTACTGGTGATGATTCAAATGTTATTCCAAATGCTGTTCCTCAGTTCAGGTCTTCGAGACAGGCAGCTTTTGAAGAAAAACGTAGAGGCAAAAGGCCAAAACAAGAGTATGCTGATAATTCAAACTCTTTCCTTGACACAACATGGATGGAAGAAAAAGTTGACCCTGAAACTGGCAAAGTTGGAATTCCAAAACTTTTCAACAACAATCCTGGTAAGAGTGTGAATCGAATGGTGGCTAAACCTCCATATTTCTTTTATGGAAATATTGTGAGTTTAGCATATGATTCATGGGCAAAAATTTCTCAGTTCTTGTATGGCCTTCAGCCTGAATATGTGAATACTCAATTCTTCTCGGCCTTAAGCAGAAGGGAAGGTTATGTACACAATCTCCCCACCGAGGATAGGTTTCGCATCCTTCCTGAGCCACCGATGACCATTGAGGATGCAATGCCACATACAAAGAAATGGTGGCCTTCATGGGATACAAGGAAGCAAATGATGTGCATCAGTTCTGAAACCAGTGGGGTATCTCATCTTTGTGATAGGCTTGGAAGGATGCTTTCAAGTTCCCATGGACTGCCCTCTTCTGAGCAACAGAGAGACATCCTTCATCATTGCCGCTCATCTAATCTTGTGTGGGTTGGACAACACAAATTGGGCCCTGTAGAGCCTGAATATTTAGAGCGCATCCTAGGCTACCCATCGAGTCACACTCAAGTTGCTGAGAGCAGTTTAGTAGAAAGGCTTCTCTCACTCAAATATTGCTTTCAGACAGATACCTTGGGTTATCATCTCTCTGCGCTGAAGTCTATGTACCCAGAAGGATTAACAGTCTTCTCAGTTTTCAGTGGGATAGGTGGGGTTGAAGTTGCTTTACATCGGCTTGGCATTAGATTGAAAGGAGTTGTTTCTGTAGAAACTTCTGCAACAAAGAGGAAGATCCTAAGAAGATGGTGGGAGGCAACTAGACAAACTGGGCAGTTGGAGCAGATCGAAGATGTTCAAAAGTTGACAAGCAACAAGCTTGAAAATTTGATCAGGAAATTTGGTGGTTTTGATTTTATCATTTGTCAGCAGCCATGCAGTGACTCAATTTCTAAGCTTCCTCCACAGAGTGACTTTGTCCCAGGTTTTGACTTCTCCTTGTTTTATGAGTTTGTTCGTGTTTTGCAACGCGTGAGAACTATGTCAGAAAGAAAAAGTTGACAGTTCGCATGCTCCTCATAATGGATTTTGTGGTACATCTAATTTTTTAAGAATAAGTAAGACTGGTTCTTTCTTGAAAAATTGAGCTTGAGAATTACACGCCGCCCGCACACACACACACACACACGGTAAAAAGATAGCATTAACATATATTGACTACTTTATGTGCATAAGTTGCATGGTTTATGATAATCATCTTGATTCTGGAATATTCATCGTAGTCTTTACTCAATATGATTGATGATAATGTAGACAACTATCAAAATTCTTCTGCTTGAAGGAGAATCATATGTAAAAGGAATGGACCGACAAATGAAAATTTTCATGAGGACTGATGTGTGGGTTGAGTATGTCTGTCTTGCTGCAAGTGTCACGGTTGGAGCTCCGAAGTTGGGGAGATTCTTGGCTGTCCCTGGAAAAACATGCCTTCATCGTTCTTGACTGTCTCGTAGCCGCATGATGATGAGAGATACAGGAAGAGGTGGATATATTCTCGGTATATCCGAGTGTCTCCCCCCAACTTGACGGGATAAGATAAGCACATGACTTGATCATCTAAAGTGTGTAATTCGTCCTTGCTGAGAACACTAGTTGGATAACCATCGAATCAGTCGCTGCTCAACCTGCAAGAAATTGCAGAACTTGTTTTTGTGACATAATGGTGGGTTTAGTTTGTCTCTTGCCCTAAAGTTTGGGTGGCTCGGACGTAAAGGGTTTGGTTTTTAAGTTTTAGTGCGAGACAAAATCATTAAGGTTGAAAGTTGAAATCTCCATCGACAAAGACTTCACATTTTTGCCTGCTCCTCTCCTGCTTCAAGGAACGATTTCGAGATTCATTGTTGGCCTACAATTGGAGGGAAAGGGATCCTCTCCGGATCCCTTCCACCTAATCCTCCTCATCAAACAATCCGGGCTTTTAAAATTTGATCTAACGGTTAAAATTATTATAATTTTCAAGGGAGCCTCTTGTTTGGAGCCGTTAGATCAAATTTCAAGAATTCGGATTGTCTAATGAGGAGGATTAGGTGGAAGGAATCTGAAGAGGATCCCTTTCCCAATTGGAGGACTATGTGGCTCACACATCCAATCTCTTTTCCTTTTGGCTTGTTAAATTACATTTGGCCATCTGGGTAAGAATCATGAAGCTGCCCCCTGCCTTGTTTGTCACGCTGCTAAATGAAAAGGACAACTTATAACCTCGTAAGAAAAATACTTTTTCCAACTTGGATGGATGCACGATGTGAGTAGTTGGTCGATCATCCTGCCCTGTTTGTCACACGGCTAAATGAAAAGGACAACTTTTAACCTCGTAAGTAAAATGTCTTTTCCAACTTGAATGGTTGAACGATGTGAGTGGTTGGTCGATCATTTCAACATGGTAGGTCAATTAGCTCTTGTAATCTTGTAAGATTTGTCCCACTTGGAGAATTTCTGTTGAATAAAGATAGGAAAACATAAAAGATAAAAATATAGAACTAACAAGGGAAATAATTTTGGGAAATGATTTTCACGTTCTATATCCATCTCCTATTCTTCTTGCACTCGTCAGTTTTTTTTTTTTTTTTTTTTTTGTTCAATGATTTACCGTTGGTTTATTCATTCTTGTGGTATGAATTGAAAGTAAATGATGACAAAATGGTCAAAAAGCATAGTGCAAAATGATCAAAAGAAAGTGTGAAAATAACTTCTCAAAATAGATATCGCATATAAAAAATAATTGAAAATCATAACTTCGTCTTTATAAAGAAAGCCAGAAATGAAAGTGTAAAGATCATTTCTCAAAATTAGTATCATATACAAAAAAAATGATTGAAAATTATAACTTCACTTTTATAAAGAAAGCCAGAGATAATAATTAAAGCAAATGGACTTTGGGTCGAATTATTATATTATTACTTCTCTTAAAGTTGATGAGCCACTCCTTATGGAACATGTGGATAGGATATTCCGATTGGAAAATGCCTTCTTTCAATCAACACCTTGATCTTCAATGTCGCAAATGATGGGGAATGATAGTAATGGAGGGAAAACAAACAGAATTCAGAGTATATAGGGGGTCCCATCACGATGACTTAAATAAAAAAATTCATGTATAAATGGAAATCCCTAGTTTTTGTAAGTGGGATGTAAATTTGTGAAGTTATTTTCTAGCCAACTAGTTTTTTGTCAGATGGTGTTTTTCCTTTCTAGTTACAAAAAGTATTGCAAGACTCATGTAGTTTAGTTAGTTAAGAGTATATCTCTATGCACTCAAAGTCATGCGATGATTTTTCCGATGCATAAGAATAAAGGAAACTAATGAAAAAAGTTTGAAAGCTTTGAGTTTCAACGTTAAGGATAAAATAAAAGGTAAAGTGAATAGTATCAAGTTTGACTTTAGTGTAAAAATATAATTTTTTATTAAAATGAACATTACTGTAGGTTTTTTTTTGTTAAAACTCTTTAAAAATAAATTGATAAAACCTCAAGATCAACTGAGCTTAAACAAAAATGTTTCAGCCGTTAATGCCAATGCAATAAAGTCAAAGAGGAAACAAAATGCACGTCTCCAACTTCATGGTCATATATCCATGATTACGATTGACATCCATTGACTCAAACAAGCAACTTTACTCAGCATAAACAAACAAAAAACCCTAATAATGCTGCTCTTGTAATATTTCTCTCTCATTTTATGTACATTTGTCATGGAATTTAGAAATATCAGAATGAGGATCCTCTCCGAATCCTTTTTATGAGGATTTAGGGAATCGCTTAATCGTATCTGCTTATCGTAAATTATGCGATCAGTTTTCTTTAAGTACTATTTGTGTTCAATTTTAAAATAATTTATGACCTCACGATATACTATGAATAGACAAAATAAAAAAAATTCATTGGATCCTCACAAAGAAAACACAGAGAAGATCCTCATTCGAAATATCATATTCCCGATGTAAATATGTTCAAATTCGAATTCACTAGGAGGACAAGAGGGAGTAGGATTCTCTCCCTTCCTATTCTCATCATCTTCCTTCCCCTCCTCTCACACATTGCTTTTTGTCTTATTGTCTTTATAAAAAAAAAAAAAAATCAATATAAGATGTTGACGTGGCTTAATCGTGACCGTTCAAATAAGAAAGGAAAAAATCCTCCTCCGGACAAGAGGGATTGTCGACCCCACTCTCTCAATACTCAACAAATTGATTAATGATTGACTTGGACACTTACTTGGCTAATGGAAAGCAAACAATTTTTTCTTATTTTTAGTACATTGGTATTTTTACATTAAGAAAATGGAGAATTTAGCTAAGCTACACAAACGACAATATAATTTAAGATCGAATTCACCATCCACGATATTTGAACCTAAAACTTTTCATTTTCATGTAAAAAGAAATATCACCAGACCGTAGTACTAAATGACGAAAACAAACAACTTTTAGTTGAGCAGTTTCGCCTTTCTTTAAAAATAAAATAAAATAAAATTTGAGAGCTTCTTCATCTTTGCTATCATAAATAAAATTTTCTGGATCCAATTATTCAAAGTAATTATTTAATGAAACCAAAAAACTGGCTCTTTGTTTTTTAATTGGCGTTTCCGACATCCCATAAGAATATAAGGTAGCGATGTTTCGGGGGCAATAATACAGCACAAAAAACATAAATATTCTGACGTAAGTATACATACTAATCTTTGACCAAAACAAAGAAAAGTATATATACTGTACATACTATATTTTTTTCCTGTTACATGTAAAATCAGTTGAACTAATTTATAAGTTCGTCCATCATCAATTATTTAGGTTATTTCGAGAAAAAATTTCATTAAATAAAGTAAAATGACAAATATACTGTTAATTTTTGTCAAATTATTTTGACCCATTATTTATTAAATTAAGAATATTTTTGTCATTTTAATTGTTATTTAACAGAGATTTCTCACGTGATAATCAAAATGATTGACAGTGGATAAACTTGAGACCCTTGTATTGATTTTAAATCTCAATAATCACTATTGATTTTAAATCTCAGGCACTAAATAAAAAGTTATGCTACTTTCAATAACCATTTCAACTGAATACCTAAAATATATAACAACTATTATACTATACAGTATACACTATACTGTATACACAACACAGAGAATATGCTTGTACATGCCAGCTTGTCTTGGACTGGACTGTCTCTCTCTCTCACAGGCCAGCAGCCAGCTTGTCTTGGACTGTGTCTCTCTCTCTTCTCTCTTCCTCTCAGTCACGGACACTCAGGAATTCACACACTTGAAAATCAGTTTCCTTTTTTTGGGTCGAAAAAACCAGCTTCCTTTTTTTTTGGGTCGAAAAAACCAGCTTCCTTTAAAAGCGAGAAAAATCAAAGCAGCTACCTTTTCTCTCTTTTCTCATCACCAGCACTTGTTGTGTCTGATTGGAGTAGGTATTTCATGCTGCATCTACTTTGAATCTTCGTTCTTCATTTTTTCTACGTATTTATTTACATTCTCAGCTTTTACAATGCAAGCATTAGATTTGTTGTTTTTTTTTTTTTTTTTTTTTTTTTTTCTGGGTTTGTGCGGAGATTTCTTGGCAGTTCGGCTGTGATAGTGATGTTTTCTTCCTTTGTTTTTGACCCACATTTACTATCAGCATCAAACCTACAATTTTGCCTTCTCAGAACTTTCCAAGCTTATATATTTGGAGCTTTGCTTTCAACCCTTTGTGTGTGTTTCTTTGTTTGAAATGTAAAACAAACCAAAAGGGTTGTCTTTGATTGGATTTAATAGTCCAATGCCACTCTCTTTCTGAAAATTTCTCTGCATTTTTCATCTGGGTTTCAAGGTTAGCATGCTTATAACCTCTTGCCCAATCATTTTTAGACTAGATGTTGTAATGGGGTTGTGATTTTTGACTTCTGGGTTGTGCTTAAACAGCAAGAATCAAGATTTCCAAATTTCTGGGTCAGCTTGTATCTGTTGAGATTCGATTCGATTTAGTCCATCTACTGCTGTGCCACATTGATATCTTTGCTTGTTTAATGTAGATTTGGGTTGTCAGTTCTTCCAAGGCCCACCTCACCTTGGTAATGGCCTGACTGTTGTAGGT